TGGCCCCTCCTCGGGGAGGAGACCCTCCACTGCTGCCGCGAGGCCCGAGAATCGAGGAGGAGGTTCTCTGAGCGCTCATTGGCCTCTTTCGTTCGGACGACGTCGGCCGTCGGTGTCGGTGTCGTCGGCGTCCTCGGAGGCGGCGTCGTAGCCGCCGCTGGCGCCATCGTTAACGATGCCGCCGTCGTCGTCGGCGTCGGCGTCGTCGTCTTCATCATTAGCATCGTGGTTCCAGCGAAGCAGAGGTATAACTTATGACACTACAATTCTCGTGTTCTGCGTGCTCAGTTGTGTATTGACTCTTCCGAAACGGTCCAGAGGGCCAGCGGGCCCACGGGCCCTCGCAATATACAAGACCATGTTTGTAACGGTTGGATTTCGCGCTGGCATGTCCGTTCTGGCAGCAGCCCCGCTATCAAGCCGAGCGCTGGAGCAGGCCAGCCGCAGGGCTGAGCAATCTGTAGGATGAGGATGGGGAAGACGAAGGAGCGCGCAGCAAAAAATTACGCTACCGAGGAACCCCACATACTGATTTTATGTCTTGTGTGAACCGCGCTACCACTACCACCGCCGTCATGCTCTCAGGTGCCCCCTGTGGTCGTTGAAAGGAGGGGGAGGACGTGTGGGGGGAGAGGAGGGGTTGAGGAGTCATCTGTGACGGTCATATCCGGCGTCGCCTGGCACTTGGATGCGAGAGGTCATACGCAATCCCGCACTAGAGGCTATGCCTGGACGACCCTGGCACGCATAGGGAGACCACCCCCTGCGCACCCCCTCTGGTGTTGAGAAAATGCCACGCCTGCAATGCCTGGACGACCCTGGCACGCATAGGGAGACCACCCCTGCGCACCCCCTCTGGTGTCGAGAAAATGCCACGCCTGCCACGCTCTCCGACCCTGGCACGCATAGGGGCCGCGGTGAGAGACCACCCCCTACGCACCCCCCCTGGTGTCGAGAAAGTGCCACGCTTGTCACGCTCTCCGACCCTGGCACGCATAGACGCCGCGGTGAGAGACCACCCCCTGCGCACCCTCTCTGGTGTCGAGAAAGTGCCACGCCTGCCACGCTCTCCGACCCTGGCACGCATAGACGCCGCGGTGAGAGACCACCCCCTGCGCACCCTCTCTGGTGTCGAGAAAGTGCCACGCCTGCCACGCTCTCCGACCCTGGCACGCATAGACGCCGCGGTGAGAGACCACCCCCTGCGCACCCTCTCTGGTGTCGAGAAAGTGCCACGCCTGCCACGCTCTCCGACCCTGGCACGCATAGACGCCGCGGTGAGAGACCACCCCCTGCGCACCCTCTCTGGTGTCGAGAAAGTGCCACGCCTGCCACGCTCTCCGACCCTGTCGAGAGAACCCCCCCTGGTGACCCTGGCGAGAATGCCACGACCACGACGGTGGCACGCATAGACGCCGCGGTGAGAGACCACCCCCTGCGCACCCTCTCTGGTGTCGAGAAAGTGCCACGCCTGCCACGCTCTCCGACCCTGGCACGCATAGACGCCGCGGTGAGAGACCACCCCCTGCGCACCCTCTCTGGTGTCGAGAAAGTGCCACGCCTGCCACGCTCTCCGACCCTGGCACGCATAGACGCCGCGGTGAGAGACCACCCCCTGCGCACCCTCTCTGGTGTCGAGAAAGTGCCACGCCTGCCACGCTCTCCGACCCTGGCACGCATAGACGCCGCGGTGAGAGACCACCCCTGCGCACCCTGAGAAAGTGCCACGCACGCTCTCCGACCCTGGACAGACCAAGAAAGTGCCACGCCTGACCCTGGCCTGAGAGACCGCACTCTGGTGTCGAGAAAGTGCCACGCCTGCCACGCTCTCCGACCCTGGCACGCATAGACGCCGCGGTGAGAGATCACCCCCTGCGCACCCCTCCTGGTGTCGAGAAAGTGCCACGCCTGCCACGCATTCCGACCCTGGCACGCATAGACGCCGCGGAGAGAGACCACCCCCTGCGCACCCTTTGTGGTGTCGAGAGAGTGCCACGCGTGCCACGCTCTCCGACCCTGGCACGCATAGACGCCGCGGTGAGAGACCACCCCCTACGCACCCCCCTGCTGTCGAGAAAGTGCCACGCCTGCCACGCTCTCCGACCCTGGCACGCGTAGACGCCGCGGTGAGAGACCAAGCTGTGCTGAGCAGTGATGTGAGGAGGAGGGGAGGTTTGAGTGAGGTGAGACGCGGGTGCGACGCGGCAAGGAAGAAAACCAGAACCCCACGAAGCATGTGGGGAACTACCAACACGACCGTGCACTGAAGGCAGCATAGAACGCAGAAGAAGCGCACGACACGTGCAGCTTTCCAAGGAAGAAGGAGCACATGGAAACGCCAAAGCAATGCCCAGGGAGCTGTCAACACCGGCCAAGTTCGTCCCTCTCCTCGCATTCGTCCCCCCTCCTCCTCGCCCCCCGCCTCCCTCTCCCCTGCTGCAGGGCCTCGTGAGGAGGGCAGCGAGGTCGATGTCGTCGGCCTCCCCGTCCACGTCCCCCTTGTCCCCTGACAGGGTCTGGAGCCAGGCGTAGTAACAAAGCTGCACAGCCACAGCCTGAGAGCTCTTTGGCCTCATCGTGCCCCGACCCGCCACTGGAGGCATCGGCCAGGAGCCTTCTCAACCGACGCCAGGCATGGGCGACCACCAGCACGCCGGGGCGCCGACGTGGCGAAGGCGCCGAACCGCCGCCGCCGTGAGAGCCACCGCCGACGTCGCCACAGCCGTCGGCATTGCAGTGGTCGCCGTCGTCACCACCGTCGTTGCCGCCGCCGACGTCGCCGCCGTGGTCGCCGTCGGCACCACCGTCGTTGCCGGCGCCGCCACCGTTGCCGCCGACGTCGCCGCCGTTGTCCCCATGTGGTTGTGTCGTCCATGCCAGAGGGGTAGGAGGAGAGGTGCAGGAAGGGGCGGGGGGGGGGCAGACGGACAGACGGGGAGGGAGGAGGAGCAATGGGGATGGAGGGAGGAGGAGTAGTGGGTGAGGGGAAGCCGGGAGGAGACGCCGGGAGCAGGAGCGGCAGGAGGAGCGGGATGCGGGAGGAGGTGGTTCGCGGAGCTGGAGGAGGGGAAGGGTGAGAAGTAAGAGGAAGGTGAAGAGGAGGCCCCCGTCCTTCATCGCGTTCCCTCATCATCATGATGCTCCTCCGCGAAGCGGAGAAGGCCCCACTTCCAGCAGTCCTGCCAACTCTTGCCAGGAGGGGTCCTTGGATGGCTGGGCAGGTGCTGATGTCTTGCCTGGCCACGGAGGGGGGCAGAGAGGGAGAGTGAGAGAGGGGGCGGGGACCAGAAGCAAGGGGGAGGGGAGGCGGCGGGCTCTGTCTGGAGCGGCTGCCGGGGGGCGGGGTCGTTGGGAGCGTTGGCGTGGGCTGGGGAGCGGCGGAGGGAGGCCCAGACCTCCGACGACTCGCGTCTCAGAGTCGCCAGCCCCTGAGTATCTCAACACTTCCTGGGGGCCAGCTCTTTTCTTTCTGGGCTGTTTTGTCGACTGTCCTGGGGCCGTACACGCCGCGTGGCGAAGCCCGCCAGCGAGATTGTTCCTTGTTCCCCAGCAGTCTTTGGAGGTCGCAGGAGAGGCTTCTAGGAGTGCAGAATCGCAGGGGACTCTATCCGCGGCGAGGGAGCCGCCCAAGAATGCCAATCATCGATCGTACTGCCTGGCATGACATTCTACCCCCAGCTGATGAGGGAGGGGACAAGAAAGCCTGGACCTGTCCAAATGTGCGATCCAGGGAGACTGTCGAAGGGCATCCATCCGTGCGCCCCTCTGTGGCTCAACAGAGTCAAACGGAGTCGATCCCCGATCCACGAAGGCGAGTCAGAGAGGGAGGGGGCGAAGGAGAGACCGTCGTTTTTGACGACCTTGCCTCCTGACGTTCCACGGAAGGTTTGGGACTTCTCTTCTGGTCAGCACAAACTTGTTTGCACCGCGCGTGTTTCTTGATCAGGTTGTCCTGCCTGCTGGCCTAGCACACGCATGCTCGGAGGCGTCGGAAAGAGATAAGTGCATGAAGCAAGCGAGGTTGGGCAAATATGTCCGAAACCCGTTTCAGAAAAGAGATGTTCAGCACGTCCAAAAAAAGTTGGTCCTCCTCCTCTGCCCCACTAAAATCCCAAAAGCAGGTCAACAACTTAGTTATACACTCGCCCTCCTGCTCCTCCTGCTCCACCTCATGCTCCATCTCCACATCGCGCCCCCCCAAGGTGCGTTCCGACCAGAATTTCGACGGGAATCCAGCCGTGACGACGGGAAGCCGCCTGGAGTTCAAAGAAAGCAGGGAAACGTTCTCAAACCTCAATCCTGGATCCTCGATCTCGACCCTGAGAGGCTGAGATGGGTCCTGCTGGCCCGTCCGCACTTGCAGCGCGGACTTGTTGCAGTCCTTGCTCTGACCGCTGCTTCCTGTTGCTCTGGGCCAGTGCGCCGATTGCAGCAGGGGCGCGTCCCTTACCGGAGACCACGTCAAATCCTAGTCCTTCTCCTGTTTCTGCTCCCCCCCCCCTCGTCCGGCGCCCCCCCCACCTCAAAAGACGTCCCAAAAAGACGTCCCCCCCCCTCGTCCGGCGCCAGCGTCTTCACTCCAGCGCCGTGCCTTCTATCAAAGCCTGGGCCGCGGGCCCCTGGAGGGCTGGACCCCCTCACCGGGGCCGGCGTCTCGCCCGCCCGAGCGCTTCCTTGATTGTCCCGGGGCCCGGCGGTGGCTCCGGGCCCGGCGGCGGCAACGACTCAGACGGTCGGCGATCAGCGTGCGATCCATGCCCCTGCTGCTGCCCCCCGCTCTGGGCGCCAGGGGGAGCAGGGCATGGGTGAACAGAGCGTGGCTCCGCGGAGGCCAGGAGTCGATCCGCCACGTCCCCGCTCTGGCTCCTCCATGGACGAAGTGCCGATCGCCCGGAGAAGCGTCCGTCGTTCTCTTTCCGCAGCGCGGGGAGCGTCTGGCCAGATCCGGCACTCGCGCCCGAGACCCGCGTCGTCGGGGCCGCCGCCGCCGGACCCGCCAGGTCGGCGCGCCGCGAGCGCGGGAGGTGCGCGGAGCGCGTCGCCTCGGCGGCCGCGGGCGGCGGCAGCGGCGGCGAGGGCACGAGGATGGGCCTCGGCCGGTCGCCGTGCAGGAGGAGGGTGGATGCCGAGGGCAGGACCCCCCCCCCTTTCTGGGAGTGTTAGAAGCGTAGGCTTTCGGAGCTCCCGGCGGCGCCGCCCCTGGCGCGCTCCGCGCGCCAGGGGTCCAGCGCCGATCCGAGAAGCCAGCGCGCACTTCCAAAAGTCGATTGTTTACGTGATTACTCGTTCCTCTAAGAGGAGGGGCCCTGCTCTGGTTAGGGGAGCTGGTTAGTGATTGGGCCCCGAAGCGCTGAAAACGTGCCAGAATCAAACCAGGCCTGCCGTAGCTGATGTTTCTTCGGGCGGCGACAGTGCCGATTAGTGGAATGGGGCGTGGGGGGCGTCACCCAGTACACGTCACCGAACCGGGTCCCATCAAACCCAGTCCTGCCAGCGCCCGAGAGGGGCCCTGCCCTCGTTATCCACAATACGCACCTTCCGCGCAGCAGGTGCCCCGCCGCGGCGGCGGCCACCGCATTCGCCAGCCTCGCTGGCCGCCGCGGCCGCGTCGCGGCGGCATCTGCCGCGCGGAAGAGGCGGAACGTGAAGATCGATGGTGGGGGGGCGTGTCCTGTGCTGAACATGTTGTGGAACATGTTATGGGCGCGTATGTGTTTTTGACGAATCCCGTTTTCCGGATCCCGGGGCCCATCCTGGTGCCCCAGGGCCGTCGGGAAGCGGCTCGGGATGAGAAACACTGTCTCTCGAGGAAGCCCCTGGAGTTCAGCGTCTTTTTGTTCCGCGCCGAGCGGTTTCGCCCAGTCTCAGGCCCCCAAGGCCCTCGCGAATCGATCCAGATCGGTTTGCCGAGGAAAGGTGGGGTCTGGGGATCTGGCCGTGACGTTCTGCGATGTTGCATTGTGTTCGCGAAGACGGGTCTCATGTGTTCGCGACGACGGATCTCAAGGTCTTAGGGGGTTCAGCGAGCGGGCTGCTTGGCCTCATTCTCCTCCCCCCTCTTTTTTGCCTCCTCCCTGCCTTCTCATTTTCCATCTCCCCCTCTTCTGCTTCTTCTCAGCGCTCTGGCACTTTCTCTTGCTCCTCCTCCCCCCCCCTTCTCCATTTTTTAAACAGCACCCAGAAACGTGCAACAGAAAGGTTGCCCTTCTCGATCCTCGAGGGCCCTGGGGGGGGGGCGGCCAAACCCTGGCGGGAGGACGGCGCTCGCTGGTCGCCAGCTGCCAAGCGCCGGAGAGGGGAGCAGTGACGGCGGCGATGCCCGCCCAGGAGAGCAAACCTGGGCGCCCAGCGCCCCCTCCTGGCGGCGCGCTGCCTGGCACTCGCGGCGGCGGCGGCGCTGCTCCCGTGGCAGGAGCTGCCTCGACGACGATCGACGACGGCGGCGGACAAAGGGTGCCCATGCTTACCGGTACCCTTCCCTTCACGGAGGCCCTCGTCGCCACGGCTGGATTCGCCTCGGAATTCTGATCAGAACGCACCATGGGAGAGGTCCAGGGAGTAGCAGTATCGGTATCAGTTGGTTTCCCCAGCGACGACCCACGAGAACCAACGACTGGCGACGACCGACGATAACGACGACGACCATCTTGCGAACATGTGGTCTGACAAGTTGCGTTGGTTTTCGTTTGTGTCTCCCTCTCCCTTGCACCCGCCCGATAAGTTTAGAAAGTCGCCTCCATCGTGGGGAGCCTATTTTCATACCAGCTCCTGGGAGAAGCTTTCCGTAGTGCACTGTGTGTGCACCGCCCTCCCCCATCTCTTGTTAATTCAAGCTTCGCGCGGCCCGCTTAGCTTCGACCGGGAGAGTTGCGCTCTCGACCCGCGAATCAAAAAAATGTGTGCACCGCGCCGCAAGAATCGTCGTGCGAGCTAACGCGCCCGCGGGCGACTGACCAACTTGGGTGAATTGCGAAGAAGTCTCCGGACACAGCGCCGTTCCCGAGCTCGGGGCGGTCTCTCGGGCGTCTTAGAGCAAATCGTGAGGAACTGTAGAGCGGCGAGCCGACGTCGCCGCAGCAGGGCCCTCACCTACTTGAATGCATTGCGAGGAAGTTTTGGGCGAGAGCGTCGTACCCGAGAAAGTTGTGAGGAACGGACGGAAGCCGTCGCAGCTGGTCACCCTCTTGAGCGAATTGCGATGGAATCTCGGGCGAGAGCGCTCTCTGGCCAAGGCGTTTCGGAGTACATTGTAAGGGAGTGTAGCGTGGGAGCGGTTGTCGTCGTAGTTTGGCTATCACCAACGTGAGTGAATTGCGAGGACGTCTCGGGCGAGAGCGCCATTCCTGAGTTTGGGGGACTCTGGCCAGGGCGTCTCAGAGTAAATTATGAGGAGGTGTCGACCGGGGGCCGTTGTCGCCGTAGATGGGTTTCAACGTCCTGCATTTGGAAGCAAGCCCCCGTTCGAGCAGGAGCTCGTCGAGGCGAGAGCGCCAGAAACAGCTTCCAACGGCCAGCAATCCAGAGATGATGAACGACGACAATGATGGTGGTGACGCCGTCCGTCGTTGCCGCTGTCGCCGCCGGTCGTCTTTTGTTGTCGTGACGTTCGTCTTCGCCGCTGTCGTCCCCGCCGTGCGTCGCTCACGGTCGTGCGTTGTCAGCGTCGTCGTTCGTCTTCGTCTCGCTCGTCTTTCGCCATCGCCGACCGTCGTGGTTCGTCGTCGACGTGGCCGTCGTGAGTCGGCGTCGTCGTTCCCGCCGCCGCTGCCGTCGTCACCATCGTCGTCTCCGCTCCGCCCTCGCTCCTCCTGCTGCTGGCTTCTCCTGCGGGGGCTTCCCGCCAAAATTCCAGGGCGCCGTTGCAAGCATCGCGGCGGCAGCCTCTCGAGATCTCGGCGCCCGCTCAGGGCTCATTTCGACTCCTTCGGTTCGGTTCGATTCGATTCGATTCCGATGGGTTCCGATTCCGATTCGACTCCGATTTCTCAATGGAGGCATTGCTAGGCTGCGGATTTCAGCCGATTCGACTTTTCCCGACTTGGCTGCCGGCTTCCGCCGATCCGATTCATTCCGATCTCCGATCCGACTATCGATTCGAATTTTCTCCTGCCCGCGACGAGAGGGCTGTCCTGTGGCTGGGGCCGGGAATCCGGGGCCCACATCGTGGAAGTACTATTTCGTGCTCCCGCTGCGGCAGACAGACGGAGTCGAGGGCTCTGGCCGTATCTCTTCGCGGTGCTGTGTTTTCCACGGCCTGGAATCTAGGAGGTGCCTCCAAGAATACCTCCAGAAGGTTCCGAAAACCTTCGAAGACCCCGCAAAACACCCGAAAGGTATGACGCCCACGATGGCGTCGGCGACGAAGGCGGCACGACTGCGGCCACGACAGCGCTGACCAGGACCACGACCGCGACGACAATCACAAACCACGGACACGACGAACACCTCGACGACAACCGCGACACCGACGGCGACGACCGCGACCGCGACGACGACCACAGCCAGGACCACAACGACGACCACGACGACCACGACGACGACGACGACAACGACGATGACGACGACGACGACGGGCCGCCTGGCAGAGGACGCTGGGCGCGTGGACACCCTGGCCGAGCGGGGTCCGTCATTCTTCTGTGGCGTGGCCTGGCAGCGCGGGCTGTCGCCCCGGCGCCGCGCAGGCGCGGCCGCCACTCCACGACGTCGGCGTCGGCGTCGTCTTCGCCGACGAGGTCGGCAACGACGTCGCTAGCGTCGTCATCTTCGTCGTCGGAGTCGATCGACCTTGCTGTTGTCGACGTCGCCGAAGTTGTCTCGGTCGCTGTCGTCGTCGTCACCGCTGTCGCGTGACCCATGACCCTGGTGCTGCGCTGGCGCAGACGCCACGTCTCCACATTGTCGGCGCCGTTGTCACGTAGTTTGATGATGAACTCGTCGTCATTTGTCGGCGTCCCGCTGCCCATCGCACTGGTGCCACGCAGGCGGCGTCGCCCTGTCGGCGTGGAAGAAGAAGAAGAAGGAGGCGCGGCGCGCGTCCCTTACTCCGCTACTGGGGTAAATAATTCATGAGACCCGTCGCCAAATGAAACAGGACACCGGGGTTATCCAGCCCTCGGGTCGTGGATCACCCTCGGTCGGACCCAGATCCCCAGACACCCGACGCCGTGATCTCTTTTTGCTCTCGGGTCGTGGAACACCTTCGGTCGGACCCGGATCCCCAGACCCCCGACGCCGTGATCTCTTTTTGTGTGGGCCTCCAGAGGCCACCAGGAATTCTTGGGAGCATTTGGAGATTCTCGAGACTTCCTGAGAACTCTGGGGACGTAGGCCTCCGACATTATCTTTTTCCCGAACATCCTGTGGTCGTTTTGACTCGAAGGCCCCGCGTCCCAGTTCCTGCTCCTCCTCCTTCTCCTTCTCCTCTAGCTGCCCCCTCCCTCCTCTCCCCATCCATCTGATCACCACTGTCAGTCACATTTCGCCATACCCTTCGGCGGGGCTACTTGCTTACAGCGCACTTGTTCCTTCAGAGGAAATGACGAGCAACATCTTAAGAAACATGAGAAAACCAATACTAAGGAGAATTAAGGCGCGCGAGACATTGAACGACCGAAGGGAAGAAAGGTTTCATGCGGATCTTCGTAGAGACTGGCGAAGCTGTAAGGCCGCCACAAACAAAATCCTTTTTGTAAGCTTGCCACCACTGAATTATTGCTACGGCCTTACGGCCGGCGCCGCTGACCCTGAAGGGAGACGACGACGACGTCGACGTCGACGCCGACGTCGGAGACGACGACGATGACGACGACGACCACGACGACGACGACGACGAAGACGACGACGACGACGACGACGACGACGACAACGACAACGACAACGTTGTCCACATCACCCCATCACACGGTTCGTGCCCCTAGGCAACTCCACCGAAGGGTCCAATGGCATCGTTCTTATGCCGTCGCCCCGCCCATCTCGGCACAGCCATCTCGTGTTTCGTGGCCCCATAGGGGCCTTCACCGAAATCCCCAGTGGCAAGGTCCGCACGTCGTTGCCACGCCCATGTCGGCACACCCTTCACCGCGTCGTGGCCCCAAAGGGACCTCCACCGACGGCCCCAGCGGTGGGCCCCTGCCCATGTCGGCACATTCCTCACACGTTGAGTTGCCCCTGGGGCTTCACCGATCCCAGTGGTGCCCCGCCCATTTCGGCCGAATGAATTTCGTTCGGCGGCCAGCGAGGGTGGGGAAGTGAGAAGGAGAAGGCCTTCTCAGAAGGCTCGGAAGCCCTCCGGCCTTCTGAGAAGTTTTGTAAGTTTTCCCCGAAGACAAAAAACCGTTTAGAAGGCGCGAAGGCTTCTGAGAAGTCCCACTGCTTTCTGAGAAGGCTTTCTCCTTCTCATTCCCCCCTCGCTCGCCGCCAATTCGTGGTCCCACATGGAATTCCACCGAAGGCCCACCTGGCAAGACCCGCATGGCGCCGCCCCGCCCATTCCGGCACACCCCCACACGCTTTGTGGTCTCATGGGGGGCTCCACCGAAGGCCAACGTGGCAGGGCCCGCATGCCGCCCCGCCAAGTTCGGCACACCGCTCACACGCTTCGTGGCCCCATCTTGAATTGTGTGTTTCTGTCCACATGTCTGCCTGCCTGGGCAATCAGACTCGGTTTCCCCTTGTACTCTCGCCTTGTCTTTCGTTGCAGTCCACATGTTTGAATACGGACCTCTTTGGTTTCGGAAGGAGCTTGGACTTCCTCAGGCGCTTCCGTTGGCCGTTCCTCGGGGACTTCTTGCACCACCCAAGACGGTCCCAAGATGGCGTCATGAGAGCCCTGGAAGGTCTTCAGGATGGCCCCTGGGCGCTTGGATGCGTGATCCTCCGTGTGTTCCTCCTCTGGGGAGGCTTGCATGTTGGAGCCGCGAGCGGCTCGACTTAATTGTTCTTACTTCGGGGCTTAATTCATTGAAGCAGCGAAACCAGAAGATAGGTGGTTCTGACAGGTGGCTCTGACATGAGTTCTCACTACGGCTGGATTTGATGAGTAGGTCGACACTGCGTTTCTTGCCGTTCGCGCGTTTCGCGCCTCATATCCTTTATGTCTTGCGTTTCGCGCCTCATATCCTTCCTGCATTCACATGGCACCGTGGCTCTCGGGATGGTCTTATGCCCTCTCGCATTCCCTCTCCAATCAGGCTCGACTGTAGGTCACAATGTTGTAACTTTCGCGCGGCGTCGGATCTCAAAGGAGCCCTCTGCCATCCTGGGCGCCCCCTCCCTGCGGCCAGCTTGTAGTCCCGGGCCGTCGTTCGATAGCCCGAGGGCGCGAGGCGCGAAGACGGCCCTGGAGGCCGAGATTGACCAGACACTGTTCTGCTGCGGACCAGGCGAGCGCGGGGGCCGGTCGAGCGGCCCAGGGGGCATTGGACAGCGAATGGGGGAATTGGGCAGCGATTGAGCTGCAGGGCCTGGAAAGGCTGCCGCGTCGGAGGCGTGGGCGTGCGCCGCCCCTTGCAGGTGGACCCCGACAGGGAGGCGAAGCGCGCGGAGGCCCTGAGAATACGCCAGGAGGCCCTTGCCAAGGCGGGCGTCGCGCCAGCCGTGATCGCGCAGCAGGCTACCGGCGGGCCGCCCCTTCTTCGGCCCCCCTTGCTCCTGCTGCGCCAGTTTTGCGGGCCCTTCCCCATGCGGGCCGCGTCGGAAAGGGGCCGGGGTCGAGGGCGGCCAAGAGGGGGTGGGGGGGGATGACCAGGGCGTTTTCGAGGCTCGAGGTTTTCGGGCGTTTTCGTCGGTCCTCGGCGGTCTCCTCGCCTCGAGATGCCTTCCGGCAGCTGCGCCTCGTCGAGGGCTTTCCCGGGGAGCCTGGATCGTCCCGAACGGCCGCCAGAGGCTCGATTTATGGCCCGAAAACTACCAGGTGTCGAAGAGGAGGAGGTGATGACTAGGGGGAGGGATATCAATGCCAGGGCCATGACATCTCCCCGGATATCTATCTATCTCTATTTATCGGAGGTGAGGGGGTGAGATCGAAGTGGAACGGAGAGCCCCCCTACCGGGAAATCAGTTTCGGTTTCGCGCTCGTGCGCGCCGCGCGTGCGGGCGAGGCAAAGCTGCGTGGGCGGGCGAGAAGTGTCCCGCCTCTGGCTCAGGCGTGGCCGGACCAAAATTCTCCCTTCCGGCAAACGGTGCCGCGCGGTGTCCCGCTGGTGTCTCGCCGGTGTCCCGATGATGATGATGATGATGATGATGATGATGATGATGATGATGATGGTGATGGTGATGGTGATGGTGATGGTGATGGTGATGGTGATGGTGATGATGATGATGACGACGTTGATGATGATGATGATGGTGATGATGGCCATGATGATGATGATGATGGTGATGGTGATGGTGATGATGATGATGACGACGTTGATGATGATGATGGTGATGATGGCCATGGTGGTGATGATGGCCATGGTGGTGATGATGGCCATGGTGGTGATGATGGCCATGGTGGTGGTGATGATGATGGTGCCCCGATGATGATGATGTTGATGATGCTGATGATGATGATGGTGTCCCGATGGTGACGATGATGTTGATGATCATGATGATGCTGATGATGATGAGGTGATGACATGATGATGATGAAAATAATGATGATGATGGTGCCCCGATGATGATGATGGTACCTCGATGATGGTGTTGATGGTGATGGCGATGATGTTGATGATGAGGAACATGATACGGTGATGATGATGATTTTGATGATGGTGGCCCGATGATCATCATGATGCTGATGTTGATGATGATGATGATGATGGTGTCCCTTTGATGGCGATGGCGTTCACGATGATGATGGTGCGACGATGATGGCCATGATGATGCTGATGTTGCTGATGATGATACTGGTGTCCCGATGATGATGTTGATGATGTTGTTCATGATGAGGACGAGATGATGGTGATGATGGTGATGGTGGTGTTCTGGTGATGATGGTGATGATGGTGTCCCGATAATGATGATGTGGACGATGATGATGGTGACGATGATGGTGTCCCGATAATGATGATGGTGATGATGCTGGTGATGGCCATGATGGTATGGTGATGGTGTCCCACTGATGATGCTGGTGATGATACTGATGTTGGTGATGATGGTGTCTCGATGCTGATGATGTTGGTGATCCTGGTGATGTTGATGATGGGATGGTGGGATGATGATGATGATTATGAGAATGATGATGATGGTGTCCCAATGGTGATGATGATGTTGATGATGATGCTGTTGATGATGACGATGATGAGGTTGATAATGACGGTGATAATGATGATGGTGTCACGATGACGATGTTGATGATGATGATGACGATGCTGGTGTTCCGATGATGATCGTGATGATGAGGACGATGATGAGGTGATGATGGTGGTTTTGATGATGGTGGACAGATGATGATGCTGATGTTGATGAAGATGATGGTGTCCCGATGATGATGATGGTGATGATGATGGAGGTGACGATGATGATGGTGTTCCGATAATGATGTTGATGAAGATGTTGTTGATGATATTGGTGTCCCGATGGTGATTTTAATGATGCTGTGCATGATGATGATGATGAGATGATCATGATGGTGGTGTTCCGATGATGACTGTGGTGTCCCGATGATGATGTTGATGATGATGGTGGTGACGATGACGGTGTCACGATGATGATGGTGGTGATGATGATTATGTTTCCGATGCTGATGCTGATGATGTGATGATGATAGTATCCCGATGATGATGATGATGTTGATGGCGTTGATGACGATGATGTTGATGATGATGATGGTGACGTTGATTGTGATATCGATTGTGGTATCGATATTGGGATGGATATTGGGACCGATTGTGAGATATATTGTGATATCGATAGTGAGATCGATTGCGAGATCGATTATCTGATCGATTGTGAGATCGATCGAATGAAATAGATCGAGTGAGATCGATTGTGAGATCGATCGAGTGAGATCGATCGAGCGAGACCGATAGTGAGATCGATCGTGAGATCGATAGTGGGACCGATCGAGTGAGACGTTGGTTCCTCCCCCCCCTCGAACTTCCTTATCACCCGGAGGGTGGTCGTATAGGTGTGTGTATATATATATAGACTATCGGAGGTTGGGGGGTGAGTCCGACGTGAAATAGAACCCCCCCTGCCGGGAAATCGGTTTCGGTTTCGGGTTCGTGTCGTGCGTGCCGTGCGCGCGTGCGGGCGAGGCGACGCTGCGTGGGCGCGCGAGAGGAAATCCTCATGTGGCTGGACCGCGGCCGGACTAAATGTAACTCCTCCGGCGGCCGGTGCCGCGCGGTGTCCCGCCGGTGTCCCGCTGGTGTCCCGAAATCCTCCTGTGGCTGGGCCGTGGCCGGACCAAATCTTTCTCCTCCGGCGGCCGGTGCCTCGCGGTGTCCCGCCGGTGTCCCGCTGGTATCCCGCTGGTGTCCCGTGGTGTCCCGTGGTGTCCCGTTGAGTGAGATCGATAGTGGGATCGATACTGAGATCGATGTGGCGCCCCGAGGTGTCCCGTAGTGTCCAGTGGTGTCCCGCTGAGTGAGATCGATAGTGAGATCGATAGTGGGATCGACAGGTGTCCCGAGGTGTCCCGTGGTGTCCCGTTGAGTGAGATCGATAGTGAGATCGATCGTGAGATCCATAGTGAGATCGATAGTGAGATCGATGTGGCGTCCCGAGGTGTCCCGTGGTGTCCTTTGGTGTCCCGCTGAGTGAGATCGATAGTGAGATCGATAGTGAGACCGATGGTGAGATCGAGAGGTGTCCCGCGGTGTCCCGTGGTGTCCCGTTGACTGAGACTGCGATCGATCGTGAGATCGATTGAATCAGATGTTGGTTCCCCCCCTCTCCCCCCCCACAACCTCCTTATCACCCGAAGGGTGGTCGTATCAGTATATGTATGACCCCCTCGTTCTCGTTCACATCGCTTGGTCCCCCATTCGTCTGCGCACATGCTTCTGCCCATGAGTTGATGGCGCCCCTCTTGGACGCCCCGCACAGAGCACCACGGAGGGGCCGCAACTGTTCGAAAGGTTGGAGGAGTCTCGAGCCCAGCATCCTCGGGTCCCGCTCGGCGGCCACACGGGCTCCAACGCCGCGCAAACAACACAAAGTGGCCAGGGCAACCACAGAGCAGGAGCCCCCCCCCCCCTCGCGTTGTTTGGGCCGTTTTCGGCGCCTGGCCCCGGGGGCCGTACAAAGGCTACTCGGGACGAACATCCTGTCCGGGGGAAAGGATTCGAGAATTCTGAGGGTCCACGGCGTGGAACGATTATGGCGTCGAAGGTCTGGGTTGTTGTCGATGACCCGCAGGACACGTGCTGGCCGAGTGCGTGCTTACTTCGCTCGGCCCTCGCTGCATCGGCTGCGTCGTATTGAAGGGCTTCGGCGGACAAGCACACAGATTGGCGCTGACGCACGTTCTCGGGATCATCGATGGCGACGCGGGCCCTGCCGGCCGTGCCAAGCTCCTCCTGACGACCGAGGCTCGATGATCTGGGGTCGAGGAGGTTGGACGATGTTGCGCGTTTTTCGGATGGTCTTGGGGGACCTCCTCCTCGCAGGTGGTGTGGTGGCGACCCTCTCAGTGGCAGTCCCCCTTGGCACTGCCTGGCTGGGGGGCCGTGCTGGTCGCATCTTTCTTGGCCTCCGGAGGGCCTCTCTGATTGTTCTGGACGGCCTTCAGGCAGAGGGCGGTTGGCAGCGAACCACGGGCACCGGCCGACTGGGGCCCCCGCCCCTCGCATGAAAATTCTTGCCAGAAGCTGCGCTCCTTGGACACTCTCTACGTAGGGAGCTCCTCGGAGACCACATGACCACCCCACGACTTCTATAGGGTTCGCATGCGGCCTCCTGGCACCAGCAGGGGCCTCGGCTCCGGCGCATCTCGTCTTCGGCGAAACCCAGCGGAAGGCTGGTGGCAGCGAGCGGAAGTAAAATTGCGGCGGGTCCGTTGGCGGAAGGTCGGCGGAAGTAAATGTGAGACGGCAACATTTCTGAATCCAGGTTGCCTGGAGTCGACCACTTGTTGCCCCTGCTCATGAATCTGCCATCGTATTGCGTCCACGCTACGGTATGTGCAGGCCTCCAACGTCCTTTAAACAGGAGTGGGGGTCTGCCCGAAGTTTTCGGCCCCTTGGGGCAGCCACCAGACCTAGTGGCCATCCGAAGACCATCTTTGACGAAAGATGGGCCCTGGGAAGGGGTCATCATTGCTGGAGGCCCTGCCATTGAACACAGAATTTGCATCCAGAGCGCGAAGAGGAGGGGGGGGGGGGGGCTTCCATAGCGCGAAAAGGAGAGGGGGGGGTTAGCAGCGCTCCGTGAGGGGAGGTTCAAGGGGGCGGGGCGGGTAGCTATGCCCCCCCCTTTTGGACAGGGAGGGGGAGGGTCGTTTCCGAAGCGCGAAAGGGAGGGGGGGGGGGGAAGGGTAGTTTCTGAGAGGCGGAAGCGGAGAGGGGGGGGGGGTTCTGGCGGGGCAGGTCCAGGACGGTTGGGGGCAGGTAAGGGCCCCCCCCCGCGCGCGCGCCCGTGGTCGCGCGCGCATCCCGAAATCTCTCAAAAACGTTAAGTGTCGC